ATCCTTTGCTTTCATCTCAAACCAATTCAACTTTTTTTTTTTTTTAATTACACAATGAGAAGACAATCCTCTTCATCTCTTAACTTATTTAATTTACATATTATATAATTCAAATTTAATATTTTTTACTTTTATTAAAATAAAATTATTATTAAATTATTTAAATCATTAACCAATTGAGCTATTCAAGTTGGGGAAGATATACTCGAAAAGAAAGGTTATGATGAGGGCTGACTTGTATCATTCTAGGGGTTTGAGAGCTAATTGCATCGCTCTAGGGATTTGAGGGTTCATTTGCACTGTTTTTAGTTTAGGGGCTTACATGGTAATTTGAAGTACGTCTGGGCGCATAAGAGGGGAGGTTTTGCCTTTTTACAAGGCAGTAGCATTTATTTAAAGTCACAGTTCCCGAAATGGTAACTAGAAAGGGGAAGGCAGCGTTCTGTTCTGTAGGGGTGGGCAAAAACCGGTTTTGGTTAAAACCGAAACCGATTTTGAAATAACCGAAATTTTTTTTCCTAATTTTGAGAACCGAAACCGAACCGAAATTATCAAAAAACCGATCGATTCGGTTATCAATAAATCGGTTTTTAATCGGTTCGGTTTCAGTTTTTGATAATAAATAATAATCAATTATTTTACTAATAATGTATTATATTTTATCACATATTTTATCATATTTTATTATATTTTATCATATTTATTTTAATTTTAGTTTTTAAATAACTTATATTCGGTTTATTTTCGGTTTTCGGTTTTTGAGAGACTCAATCGAAACCGAACCGAAATATATTCGGTTAATATTAAAACCGAAAAAATAAAACCGAAAACCGTTGAAACCGAACCGAATTCATTTTTTCGGTTCGGTTTTCGGGTCCAAAATGGTAACTAGAAAAGGGAAGGCAGCGTTCTGCTGCGGAGTTTTAACATAATATAAAACAAAAAATGGTGTTCGACAGTCTACTGCTCTAGTCAACGAGAAGCTCCCAACATGTCTTCCACCAGCATCACTCCTTCATCTCTTCCTACCCAGAGGTAAGCCATCCTTTCATCTCATAAATCTCACTTGCGAACAGGATGAACCGATTGGTTTAATTACTGACTTCAAATTTCTTTCTTTTGGAAACTTATGGAAGTCTGAATCCATGTCTTAAAACCCCTTATTATGATTTCGCTGTTCTCTGCTTTTTATTGATTTCATTGGATTTATGGAATTGCCAATACCAACGTTGTTGGGATTAACTTTTATTGAAACTTCAATCGGTCTTGGTTTTGCCTCTTGAGATTTGGAGTCTTGCCCTATATTTTCTTCAGAGTAGCTTCTGGATTGCCTCTGGATATCATGATCCTAAATTTCTAATTAAATTATCTGCCTAACATTAATATTTGACATAAGGAACAATATTTTGTTTTTATATTTTAGTCAAAACCCAAAAATGAAGACACAAACTTTAACTAAATTCGAAATTGAGGGTACGAACTTTGATTAAGGACACTCTCATTGCATTGGTTGAAAATTGAAACGTGATTATGTAAATTGTAATCAAAATCTTATTTCACATTGTGTAATCGTTAAATTGCCAATTAAACTCATAATATAATTAAAAAGAAGTCAAATTTTGAGATGTGACAGGTCAGTTTTCTGTTGAAAATCGAAATTATTCTTATTTTCAAGTAATACATAGATCATGACTATATTTTTGGGGTTTGCCTTCATTTAATTTAATGCTGGAGTTTATTGTTCTGGATTTTTTGGCCAACTTATTTTGGAATTGATTTTCTAGAAATGATTAGTATGGGCTTACTCATTTCCATCACATAGTACATTTTTGCAGTGAGAATGATATGCTCAATGCACTTTTCTATACTCTTGATATGCAGAAGCCTTGAATCCTGTAAAGAGGACACTTCTAAAACTCTTATCGTCTTGCACCTAATTTAGTCTTATGAGTTAAGAATCTATTTCTTAACAGGTTAGTGGGGAAAGTGGCACTAGTTACTGGTGGAGCAACGGGTATTGGGGAGAGCATTGTGCGTTTGTTCCACAGGCATGGTGCGAAAGTTTGTATAGTTGACGTGCAAGACAACCTTGGCCTGCATGTGTGTGAATCTCTTGGTGGTGACCCAAATGCTTGTTTCTTCCATTGTGACATAACAATAGAGGAGGAAGTTTGCTCAGCAGTTGATTTTGCAGTGAACAAGTTTGGTACATTGGATATCATGGTCAACAATGCTGGGATATCAGGCGCACCATGTTCTGATATCCGCAACTATGATTTATCTGAGTTTGAGAAGGTGTTTGATGTGAATGTGAAGGGTGTTTTCTTAGGAATGAAGCATGCAGCTAAGATCATGATCCCCCTTAAAAAGGGATCGATCATCTCTTTATGTAGTGTTGCAAGTGCTATTGGTGGTATAGGCCCTCATGCTTACACCGGGTCTAAGCATGCTGTTTTAGGCCTCAACAAGAATGTTGCAGCAGAGCTAGGAAAATACGGCATACGTGTAAACTGTGTTTCACCTTATGCTGTTCCAACAGGCTTGTCCTTGGCACACTTGCCTGAGGAGGAAAGAACAGAGGATGCATGGACAGGTTTCCGAGCTTTTGTTGCAACAAATGCCAACCTAGATGGGGTGGAATTGACGGCAGATGATGTGGCTAATGCCGTGCTCTTCTTGGCAAGCGATGAAGCCAGGTATATAAGTGGAGCTAATCTTATGGTTGATGGTGGCTTCACGTCTGTGAACCACTGTCTTCGCGTCTTTAAATGATGAACTCATGTGTTCCTCTTGTAAAAATGCAGATGCAGTAGTCGGGCTTGCTACCTGCTTTCCTTCTTGTTGGAGATTGTAGTTATTTACTCTTTTTGGTTTCAACAAACCAAATCCAGCCTGTCAAATTTACTTCTAATTAATTGTATCTATCCAACTAGTTGAGACTGTCTAGACTGTGTCTACTCTTTCATAAATATATCCTCAATGAGTTGTCTGGTAAGCATAAAGTTTCATGTCAGCAGCGAACTCCCTTAAGACCTTGTAGGCAACAGAGAGCGTGCAGTCACCCCTAGACACCTTGTAATACTACTCCACCACCTCCATCACCAACCTCTGCTACCAAACAAGAAGTTATAAACGGCAATAAATATTTGCTAGCTGACATGAAACTGGAGAAACAAAAGATAAATTAGGCTTTTCCTCTCCAGTCATCTATAATTACTTCCTACTCATTGCTTTATTAGGTTGATCTACAATTTGAAATGTACTCAGCACCAAAACATTACTTTTTATAACTGGAACAACTGAGAATTTGAGATGCACTTGGGACAGAGAAAGCAGTGAAGCACCACAAAAAGAATTGAATGCACTAGCAACTAGCAATATATATGCAAAGAGGTTTTTGGTCACGACACAGAGAACTTTTATCAAACACTTGGGCTGCCTAATAATATAAAGTATGCGAAGGCATTTTTCGAGTTCCCAAACTGACAAATTGGTATTTTAGATCTGGGTTCAATAGCATAAGCACTGCTTAACCATCTCACCTCACACCAAGCAATACGCAACCTTTGAGCTTTGCATGGGTGTCAAGAGGCGGACAGGAAGAAGGAAAGGAGGTGGGCTTTGTATATGTTCTTTCTCAGACTCTCAAAGTTTCTATCTTTACTGTACATGTTTCTCTCGAAATCCACAAAATGCATTAGCTTAAAGACTGAGCTATGAAAACAATGGAAGACAATGTAAAATGGACTGAGCTTTCTCTGTATGTGGGCTATAATTTTTCATTCGTTTATGGTTTAATTTTGGTGCATTGAAGAGTTAATTATTTGGCAATACAAGGGTTTGAATCCCTGAACTTAATCCGAATTAAGGTTTTTCAAGTTAGTAGATACCAATTCAGTCAAATTTTTATTGGTCATTCATTCATAGTTTGAAATGTATTAATGACTTCATTTTTCACAAAAATACATTAATTAGTGTCCTACCACCTTACCATTGACTAATATCACCAAAGGTAATCTCACAAGCTTCCACATCATTGTGGTAGGACAAGTTAGGGAGAAACATCTGTGGCTTTGATGTGATTCTGTATTTGATTCCAGCAAGGCTTCACA